TTCTCATCAGATTCTTCACAAAATATCCGTCCAATTTGGAAAAATTTCCTTTCCGCGATATTCCAGTGACGGAATTACATGTGAGTACAGAAATTTTAAAAATTTCTATTAGCCAGTTTCACAAAGGAAATTAAGTGAAAACTTATATTAGAAAGGGAAAGCATTCTCTTAAATTGCTGATGAAATTGCAATTTTCTTTTCTATGACGTTTTTGCTTAAAACAATATTTTGAAAATTGAAAAAAAATATTAGGGCCGAAATGAATAATGGAGAGTATACAGAGAAAGAGAATATATATTTTGAATAAATTTTAATGACATACATTTTGGAGGTGGAAATATATTTTCTATGATAAGAAAAGCTATAAATCTATATACATAAATTTTTCCAATAATTGAAATTAATAATTTTTCAAATAATAATTTCAAAGAAAAAATCTGGAACTTATTAAAACCTTATTAAAAATCTTAAATAAATTTAATGGTTTTTCCATAAATTACATATTTCATAATAATATTAATATTACAAAATAAGAAATAAAATGCTAAATTTGAAATCCATATTTTTCAAAAATTTTAGAGCAAAATTGAGTTTATTTAAAATAAAATTTTTTTCTATTTAAAAAAAAAATAATAAATATATTTTTATTTTATTATTAAACTTTAATTTTTTCTTTCGTTGAAGCTTACCTAATTCATTTCGATTTTAATAAAATATAAATAAAAATTTTAAATTAAATGAAAGTTTATCTTATGCATTTGGCTTTGATAAAAATTTTCAATTTGTATATAGACGTTTTTTTATAAAAAAATATAATTTGCAATGCTTATTTTTTCGGTTCACTTTTTTAGAACAGCGCCCGCTTCCGCGCCCACTGTGGCCGCATTATCAAGACTTTTGATCAGTCAATCAGCCAACTGGAGGAAGAAGGTGGTCTGGAAAAGATACAAGAAATATGGGAAGGTTTGGCAAAATCACATGTGGAACGTCACAATATTGCCAAGCCTTCATACCTTGTAAGTGAAACAAAAGTACAATATATGTAAAAGTTAGTGTAAAGAAAAAACTATTTAAATGTAGTTTACTTGATTCCTAAAATTAAAGGTTTATTAACCGTCTAAAAGTTTAAGGATTTTCGCAACAAAAAATTGAATTTAAAAAGCTAGAAATATTGCCAAGGCCTTTATACTTTTTTAGTGGAAAAAAATACAAACTATGAATGTACCACGTGAATTGAGCCATGCAAACTTTACCACACATAAAAAAAATATAGTTAAAATTTTGTAGATTAATAAATTTTCATTCTTCAATATAGCTTAAACTTCAACAAGAGCTATATAGAAGAAAGCTTCTAACTTTGTACAAAATTGACTAAAATTAAATAGCATAGCCAAAATTTTCCTAAAAATTTATTTAAAAAGGCTGTACTTTTGATGAAAATTTTGTGAGTTTTTCTAAAATTTGTACAAAGTTACACATTTTTTTTTAATAGTTTTTCGTAACTTGTGACCTATATTTTAAAAGTAAAATACATTTTTTAATAGTTTACAAAATTCTACCTCATTTTTTAAAGTGGTGGTGATATTTGCGTGGGCGCATATGTATAAGTTTGAATAAAGAACAAATATTTTAAGTTTTAAAATTTATTAATCAACTAAAAATTTAAAGATTTGTTCAACAAAAAATTAAATTGTTTAACAACCTTTTTTTTATGCACAAATTTTTCAAATTAAAAATTTTAAATTTTATATTTAAACAAAAAAAAAATACCGAAAACCAAATTAGTTTGGTTAAAAAATTCCCAAATAATGCAATAAAGTTGTAGTACCAAACCCAAAAATTAAGTAGTTAAGGTAAAAACCAACTTTAAATACATTTTTAAGCTCTGATGAGTACTAAAAATTTCTAATAGAAATTATGAAAAGAAATTGGCATAAGTTTCGAGGATCCTTTTTTTAATGAAATTTTTAAATATTTAGTATTTTTACATCAACTAAAAATATAAATAAATAAACAAATGACGATTTCAAAACTACAAGCGCCTTACAATGTTGGGCGCTTCGATTCATGAAGCTTTTATGATTAGGCGCAAACATGATTTTGAATCGTAATCTACAGAGCTTCATTGAAATACATGGGTTCGGCATAAAAGCTTTATACTTCAGTATGCCGAAACGATTACATTACTGTGATTAGGAGCTTAATGTGCGGAGTGCCTTAGAAATAAGATTTGAAATAAAAATAATTTCAAAAACCACATTATTTTAGAACACTTTCTCATTTGAGTTTTTCACCAACTCAACAACCACTCTCTCTCGTAAACAGGAACTCCGCGAAGCCATTGTGGAAGTGTTGAGCGAAGCGTGCAACCTGAATGAGCGTCAAGCGCAAGCCTGGAACAAACTGCTCGACATTGTGTACGACATCATCTTCAAGAAATACGATGACTTGGGTGCTCAATAATGCTGGAACAGCTAGCTAAAGGAAGGCGGCGGAGTGCTGAAGTAGTACACATGCCAACATAACAACACGCACACACACTCACACACGTAGAAGTAGTGGGAGAAGTCGCCTAAATACCAGCTGCTCGTGTATTTCTTAATGCTCAATTTTAGTAAAGGAACACTCGAAAATATACAAACAGGAAGACACACACACACACACACACACACACATTTAGGGAATATCAACGTCGACGCTTTAACCTGCTTTTGTAGCGCAAAAATATTTATTGAGAAAAAAAGGTGAAACATAATGAAGGAAAATGTAGAAAATGTCATAAAACATATCTGAAAAAGAAAAATACTAAAAATTTACCGGCAACTTGCTTAATTGTAATGACACCCTGTATTTGTTCCACCATTGCTGCTGTTTTTGTGTTTGTTTTTTGTTATTGTTATTGTTCAATAACTATTTGTGCATACATACAAACAGAATTGTACATGCATATATGTACGTATGCATATTTGACCGCAGTGTTTGTTGTTTGTTGTTGCATTTCTACGCCACTCAAGAAACTTTGAATAGAAGCTGTACCGCTTCTTAGCAGCAATCCATACAAAAACCACTATGTACTCTTAAAGTTTCCGTTTACCTCTAAGAAAATATTTTGCTAATGGTTTCTAAACTTTGTAATTTTGTGAATAAAGTAAAATGTAAGAAAATAAATAAAAGTTAAATATAATTTAAAAAAAATATTTATGCCAATATGTATGCATACTAAAGTATATGTATGTATGTATTGGAAATGGGTTCTTTACATATCTACTAAATTTTAACTAAAGTAGTCAATGTCAATGATCATGGAAATTTTCATAAGTAATCATTCCCGATTCATACTAAACGTAAGTACAGCAGCATAATAAACACATTTGTACAAAAGGGTGGCATATAGACACTTATTTAGTACATATCTTATTACTTTAAATGAGCACTTCTCGTATATATATATATAGTTATTATCCTTATAGTATTTGTATAATAATTATCTACGAGAAATATCTTTTTTCGTCTAGCGAGACGATTATTTTCAGATGGAAATTTCATAATAATTATATGGGATTTTTATTTTTTCGTCTCTCGGAACTTTTATTTCAAGCCTTTACGTCTCACGTTTTCTCTTAATACAATAGGTACATATACTGCCGCTTTCACGAGCTCCATTATTGAAATTTGATTTGCTAATATCTGGTAACCCTTTGTAGAAAACTTAAACCACGTAAAAGCAAAGCCCTTAATTTTACATCGAACGAACGATACAGATTTGATGACATGAACAGTCGTGGCGTTAAATATTTAATGCGAGCTCAATTAAGGAGCTTAATTTCAATAAAAGTCTCATTTAGTTACTAAGCGAAGACGTAAATAACTTTCGTCTTAAAATAAATACCAATATATTCAAAAAATAAGAGGCCAAATATAGTAAAATTTCCTGACGACAACGAGGAAATTTAAAAACGCAGTTTTACTATATTTGGCTCCTTGTTTTGTGAATACATATATTGATTTTTTTGTGCGTTTTCAAATTTTTGGGTTTTTGTACGGTGTAATATAGAGATGTAAATCACAATATACATTTTTTGAGATTTCATCAAGCAATTAATAAGCTTATAAGCTATAAAGGGCTGTTTGCAGTTCTCAAGAAAAATCACAAGAAATATTTTTCATTATTTCTGTTAGTTGAAAAAGTACTGTGCTTTTGATGTAAAATTTCTTGAAGAAGTAAATACATATTAGAGCAGTTTTTTTCTTGAGAGCTACAAACTGATTTAAAAAATTTTGATAGAAGAAAATTTCTTTTCGATTTCGGGTGCGTAATTTTATATAAATTTTTTGTTTATCTTGTGAGCTGCAAACAGCTCTTAGCAGATAACTCAACTCCCAAATGAATTGATAAAACTTTGATTGCGTTGTAAATAGTTCTCTATATTATTAAACGTGTGATATATGCATGTAGGTATGTACAGTTAGTCAATCAAGTTTGGGTACAGCGAATTTTTTACAATACGGGCAACTATTTTTTAAATATTTAATTTTTCGATAGTTTTTTTAAAATATATGGTTAATTCTACAACAAAAACCCCAAAAATTAGAGTTCTAAACCTTGTGCAAAATTAAAAAAAAAAAAAATCCGCAAAATTTCATTCAAATATTGCACTTTGTAGGAAGTTGTATATTCTTAATGCCACTTCTACATTTAGGAAGCAACCTTTGACTTCAGAATCAAACCAAAGTTTGCCTACAACTTCTTGATTTATTTTCATACTCTGGTTGAAAGTGAATGCATAAATTTTTAAATTGTAATACTCTGTTCCGTAAATTGTCATCAGCCACCATTATAAATATTTTCTTCATTTATACTTTTTATAAATCATATATTTTTACAATTAAAAAAATAGAAAGTTTCTTACTGGAGAGTTGAATGTTGACAAATTCACTGTTCTGATGAGCGATGCTAACAAATCCACACCAAAGTGATATGTAGACGGGCCTTTATACTCATAGAAAGTAGAAAAGTTACCCAAAGTAACATCTCAAATTTGTAATCACACTGAATTAGATCAAGGCTGTCGAAACTTCCGCACGCGGGAGTGGGTAGTAGCAATTTAAATGGAAAATGATTTTTAATTGTTTGTCAATTTGCATATAAAATTTAAAAAATTAAAATAATTTTTCACTTAAATTACTTTACGTTGTACCATAATGTGAATCCCCTTCGATTAGAATAAGAAACGAACTAAATATATCTTTGATTGCTAACTTACAGTGCCGTCTACGTTTTTTTTTTTTTTTAATTTTAAATATATAATATTTTCTCTTGTGGCGCTGGCTCCTAGGCTAGCGCCTATGTAGCCTGTGCTTAAATCCGCGCCTGGCTCTACAAGCAAAGCTTGGTAACCAAGGTACTTTATACATATATTTTTTTTATATCGCTTTCAATGCTTTCCTCTTCAAACTGATTAAAGGCACTACAAATAAATACATTTGGCAAACGCCCAGAAATGTGTTTTGAACTGAGTTGAAAGCACATTCACTTAATTGGATAGTTAATTTTTAAAAATATTGGCAATGTATTTAAAATATTAACATTGGTCAAGTAATTTAAAGATCGTAACTAAAAATAAATTGAAAAGTTTATAATGAGTTTAATGGATTATGTACTAAGCATACTTAAACTTAGCGGGGAATTAATTTAAAAATTTCGACAGACTTTAAAATTGAGATTGAAAACATTCTAATTTAGTTAAATTCTCCAGCATTAATTCCCCATTGGAATACGTATAAAATCTTTTACTATTTTCATCATAATTTTTATGGTTGTAAACAAATAAACGTTGCCTTAGTTATACTTAAAATACACAAATCTGTCAAAACGAAGTAATGGATTAAACATTCGAGACGCAATATCTTATTATTAATTTAAATTTTCAACTGTCATCTTTGCAGGCCATTGCGTCCAGGCTAACGTGGCGTATGAGTGATGCGGGTTAGTACAAAGGTATTCGGTAACAAGCTCGAAGGGAATATCAAGGGTATCCGCTACATTTCTATGCAATAAAGAAACTATGTACATAACACAATGGGTACAAAAAAATATTATAAATTTATGACTTAGTATTGAAAGCTAAAAAACTTGAATGAAATTTCGTCATTTTAAATTTACACAGTCTGATAAATTTTAAAATTGATTGGTGAAACTGGGGATGAGAATTCTTCTCTTTTGAAAATACAATAACAACTTTCAATCGGCGATTAAACTATTGCCTCACCTGAACAGGAAAAACTATTTTTTGCTTTCAAATTATTACTTTTTTATAAAGAGAGGTGTCACATGAATAAAACCAGTAAATATTCACATCAATCAAGCGGATGACACCCTGTAAGTTACCAGAAGAAATATAAAAAGTCAGTCAAACAATTTTCTACGACAAGTAAACGAATATCTGAGAGGAGCTGCCATTATAAATTTCCCCAGGACACAGCTGATTTAGGTCCCCTTGCAACCCGTTTAGTTTTTGTTTTATGAAGAAAGTTTTCGAAAGCCTATTCACTCTACCAAAATTAAATATTTTTCGTATGACGCTGGTGCCTGACCAAACGGCTCAACCAATTTCAATTCTGTAAAAGATGCTTGTGCTTCTGTGTGAAAGGTTTTTGCAAGAAAAAAGAAATTGAAAATTTTAAAACAAAAAACACAAGCAAAACAGGAAAGTCACGATTTCAGAGAATTGTGTGTATATTCTACTAGTAATTCTTTGTGCATATTTGGGTAGATCCCTGGAGGAGCAGCGAAATATCGCCCGCGAAAATATCGCCCTCGAAAAGCCAAAAAAAAGTTAGTTCTATGTTATCATAGCAGTCTTTATTTAGTATTTGAATAGAACAAGGGGGTTTTGGATGTAGTCCTAAATGCAGACAAGAGCCACATTAAAGATGAAATAACACCCGCGGGCTTTATTTAATTTTTTTAGGAAATACAGCCCACGGGCGTTATTGCCCTATTGAAAGGGAAATAACGACCACCGACAAAAGGCAATAAAGCCCGCGTGCTTTATTTTCATTTTAAATAGAAAAGGCAATAACGCCCGCAGGTGTTATTTTACTGCACCTTTCCTGGATAGTTTTGGTTTACAATAGGATCCAGCAGGTGGTTTTCCGGACAGGGTGCTTGAAGCTTAGGAAGCCTGTAGTTTGAAAATTGAGAATATTATTGAGGTGTTTCGCAAAGGTTGCTAACGGTTTAAAAATTTAATTAGTCGAAAAGTATTTAAAAAGGCTTTATTTACAAGCTACATACATGTAAGAGGGTTGCCAACTATTTTTTTAAAAATCAAATTTTAATTGAATTAAGGGAAGAAAATAACTGATATGTATCAAATTATGGCTGTCCGAGGAATGAGCGTAAAAAGGGTTGTAGTTTGAAAATATGTTGAAGAGTGTTGCCACTAGAAATTAAATTTATTTAATTATTTAAGAAAATAAAAATCAAACAAAATTATTTCATAAGTTAAATGAATTATTACAATATGGGTATCAATAGAAATGGTTTTGAAAAGACTTTCTAAACTTAGTGTATGTAGCATGGTTGCCAACTGTTTAAAAAATTAAAATCAACTTGAATTATGGAAATATGTATCACAATATGGATGTCAGACGAAAGAGGCTTAAAAAGGTTTCTAGCTGTTTAAAAATTTGAATTCAAACTATTTAATAATTTGAATGAATTATTAAAATACGGGTACCAATCGGATTGTTTTGAAAAGGATTGATTTCTAAAATTTTTGTAGAAAGATTTCCACCTGTTTAAAAACTCAAATTGGGCTTGAATTCAAGGAATAAAATAATTGAAAACGTATCACAAGAAATAGGAAAGTTTTAGTTTAAGAAAATCTTTTTGGAAGGGGCTAGAAAAAACTAAAATATCCCATGTTTTTGGCTGAGTTTGAGTATGTTGAGTGTTATTGTAATAAATTGCAACTAATGTTACACTCAGCAAAGCGAATGAGCGCAATCTAGTATAAAATATATTCAAATTGAAAAACTCAAATACATTTAAACAAATTTAAATATTATATAGACCATTGTATGCTACCAGCGATTTTTAAAAATTCAAAAAAAATACCAAAATATCACAATCCTACTGTTTATCTTCTCGCTAGTGTGCTGCCAATTT